GAAACATGGGGAGTTAATGAATTTGGATTGGAAAGAGTGGACACATTGAGATGAGCCTCCATGAATGCACAGCTGGAGTCAATGCAGCTCTCAGTCTGTGCAGAGTCTTGAGAGCTACTACCTATGTGTAGGCTATGCTACACTTTGGTAGTGCGCATTTTTGACTACCATTGACTATGAAAAGTGTAGCATTGAGTGGTAGTGGTCAAGTCACATGACAAAGGATCACATGATGCAAGGTCATGAGCAGCGATCATGTGGCTGGTTATGTAATGGTCATGTGCGCTGGTGTGGTCCAAATGTGGTGCTAGCCTGGTCATGTGATGAACAGTCACGGAGCAGGATGGTTGTTCAGTCACGTGACTAGAGATCATGTGATCAGTTGCCTCAAGTGGCTGGAGATGCAGGTCACACAATCTTATTGGTCACATGCTAGGCATGAACCTGTGTCACATGACTGAAGTTACCTCATGTTCGACACTGTGAACCTGGCACATGACTAAACCACCCCTGAATGCATGCTGTTCCAGAGTGTGGCTGTGCTACAACATCAATCATGTTATTACTCATTCATTCCTCAATGTAATGGTCTGTATTTCGGTATGTGAACCAGTCTACATAGTATCTACATCATGTCCAAAGATCAACCAATCAAAATCTCTGGTGTCTGGGTTATACAAGGATTGAAAAAAGCCAGAAAACATCACACCATGCATCCCTCACTGGGTGCATGCCATATTTAATACCTCAACTGGATTCCCCATGTCTACATCCATCTATCTCCAAAATTTCCAGGGCAGTCCATTGGGAATTGAGTGAACAGGAAGCCAATTACACATCCCAGATGCATGGGAAAACCCCAAAAAGCACAAATAAAATAGTGGAGATTGCCAAAACATATCAAAAACATTTCATTGCTTACTCCCCAGTGGGGCCAAAGCCTCAGAAATGCAAATGGGCACATCTGAACACCAAGTCTAGTAGTGATTTATAGCTTTGTGATGAGCATTACAAAGTGTACCATTGGACCATTTCGCATTTCCATCACTTTGAGGGGATGCTACTCCAGGGCACATGGTGCCAATCTGATGGGGAATGCCCAAGCATGTCACACCTCAATTCTGGTAGTCATGGCCCCACTGGGGAGTAAGCAATGAAATGTTTTTGATATGTTTTGGCAATCTCCACTATTTTATTTGTGCTTTTTGGGGTTTTCCCATGCATCTGGGATGTGTAATTGGCTTCCTGTTCACTCAATTCCCAATGGACTGCCCTGAAATTTTGGAGATAGATGGATGTAGACATGGGGAATCCAGTTGAGGTATTAAATATGGCATGCACCCAGTGAGGGATGCATGGTGTAATGTTTTCTGGCTTTTTTCAATCCTTGTATAACCCAGACACCAGAGATTTTGATTGGTTGATCTTTGGACATGATGTAGATACTATGTAGACTGGTTCACATACCGAAATACAGACCATTACATTGAGGAATGAATGAGTAATAACATGATTGATGTTGTAGCACAGCCACACTCTGGAACAGCATGCATTCAGGGGTGGTTTAGTCACATGCCAGGTTCACAGTGTCGAACATGAGGTAACTTCAGTCATGTGACACAGGTTTGTGCCTACATGTGACCAATAAGATCATGTGCTGCAACCACTGAGCCATATGGTCTGGGTACTAGTGTCAGTAGCTTGGGGGCTTAGACTAGCACTGTGGGAACATATCTCCATGAAGTTAATGCACAGAATGCACCATCTCCAATGTAGTCCCTTCATCTAGCCACTTTTGGAGTGTAAAAACAGTGCACACCCCCTAGGGTCATGCAAATGGTCTGATTGCCTTTTGACCTTGTGTCATGTGATGGATCAGGATTTACTGCTGTGTTTCCAGGAGGCCTTACTATCAGCCACCTTGTGTCCATGTAACTCACATGATCTGGACTTACCAAGGATGCTGCATGACCCATTGTACTGAGCATGCATGGGTTCCAGCTGCAGCTCATAACCTGATGAAAATGTGACCAGAGCTGGCATTGTGCCAGGACCCTCTCAGTGTCAAGCAGCTGCTCTGACCATGGAGCTACCTTGCATTGGATTCTCTATGGTGCTTGTAGGATTAATGCAGATTACTACTTCAACACCTTAGAGGGTGTGTTGGGACATCCCTCTGGTTGCCAGAGGGGAGGGTGGGATGTCCCAATATAGCCTTAGAGGCTGTTGTGGGACATCCCACTGGTTGGCAAAGGGGAGGGTGGGATGTCCCAATGTAGGCTTAGAGGCTGTTGGGGGACATCCCACTGGTTGGCAGCAGGGAGGGTGGGATGTCCCAATGTAGGCTTGGAGGCTGTTGTGGGACATCCCACTGGTTGGCAAAGGGGAGGGTGGGACATCCCAATGTAGCCTTAGAGGCTGTTGTGGGACATCCCACTGGTTGGAAAAGGGGAGGGTGGGATGTCCCAAGGCAGCCTTGGAGGCTGCTGTGGGACATCCCAAGTCCCCTTGTGAAAGTCAGTGGGATGTCCCATCCCAGCCTCAGAGGGCTATGATGGCACATCCTCCTAAGTTACCTTTGCAGACCAGCACAATGCCCCATGATGACCTCAGAGGCTCATCTGGGACATTCTGCCCTCTGCAGATGGTGTTGCAAAGGTGACCAACCCCATGTTCTATGTGGGGGACTTTGAGATATTGGCTTGTTACACAAGTGTTCAAAAACCATTCACTTCTTCCTTCATACAGTACAAATTGCATGAGGTATAGACACAAATTGATTGAATCTATTATTGCAATTTTCAAGGCAAATGTGGAGGCCCAGGTGGGTCATCTCCCTGGCAACTAGTGAGATGTCCCAATACAGCAGAATCACATTGCAAAGATGTACATGAAAAGTACTATTGTATACTACTGTGCATGGTGGGATGGGAGGGGATGTATAGGTCAAAGGATACTTTGTGGATTAAATCTGTCAGAGGAGCAAGGGGGCTAGGATTTCTGCAGCTATTTCAATGCTAATATAAGCTGCACTTTCAGGAGTAGGGACCCCAGTCACCCAAGGCAGTCTTGGGACATCCCAAATAATTGCATTTGAATGGATGGCTATGTGGGAAATCCCATCTGTCCCAGGGCCTAAAAATCTGCATAGCCCTGGGACATGACCAGATGTCCCTGGGCAGACCTTGGTCTGGGAGGCTATTTGGATGGTTTGGAGAAACTATTCAGCCTAAATGCTTATGAAAAATGGTTACCTGAAGTGCCTGCTGCACATTCTTTGCTGACATCCTGTCCTGGGCCATATCAGATTAGAAATTGAAAGCATTTTGATGTTGGTGGCAACATTGATGATTTCTTTCAAATGGGGGACACCTAGAGTAGCATTTTTGCTGAATACAACAGTGTAGTGGAAGGCATTAAGAGTCATTTGAGTAGCTGGTTCACCAATAGACTGGGCAGCAAGAGTACCACACATCCCTCCAGGGTTAATGAGAGTATGGTTGAACTTTGCCTCAATCTCACCCAGGACACCCACTCAAACACTTCACAGTTGAGGTGGAACTCTTCCAATATGTGGCAGGTAGTGAGTGTGGCTTGTACATTGTAGGGAACGAGTTTGAGTTCCCTAGGAGAATTTGTCTTGGTCAGAAGAAAATAGGGGTTGGGGGACTTGTGTTTTATTTCTTGCTATTGTTTTTGTGTTTGTACCACTGGACTTAGTGGCAAGCAGCCAAATTGCTGACTAAGTATGCATGCTGTGTTTGTGCAAGTTCAGTTTACCAGGGAAGCAATTCATGTCAGAGGCCCTCAGTAGTAGGGTGATTTTGTCTTTCATTTTGGTGAGTTTTTGAAGTTAGAATTATTACTTTGGGGAGTACCCAAAGGGCCAGGAGGACTGGCAAGAGGTATTGGACAAACAGAGCTAAGTATTCTTTTCAGTTCGCATTTTTTACCTTTTTATTACACTTCTTTTCTCCAGCAAGAACCTCCCTTTTGGGTCAAGCACAAATCTTGCCCATCACTGACAATTACTAATTCTAGGTAACATCTATTACCTATTCCTACAACATGCATGTGGAAGGTCAGTAAAGCATTCTCCTGCACTTCCCTGCTAACCTCTCTGTGAAGTTGGTGGACTGTGTCAACAGTGTAGGTTGGTTCGAGGTCACTAGACTTGCAATGGTTGATGTGGAAGATCCAAGCAGCACTTTGAATGATACAGTGCAAATTGACAGGCATGCAGTGGGAGTCAGGCTATCTGCATGAGGGAAAATGAGTGACCACAACTGGTGATGATCCTGCATGAGGCGAAAGTGTTTGAAGATGATGCAGATATGATTTTGGCTGACAGATGTATGTATGTGCTTCATTGAGGAGTACCTTGGCAAAGATGATGCAGACATGATTTTGGCTGACAGAGGTGCATATGTGCTCCATTGGGGAGTACCCTGGTGAAGACAATGCAGATATGATTTTGGCTGACAGAGGTGTGTATGTCCTCCATCCAGGAGTACTCTAGTGAAGACAATGTGGATACAATTTTTGCTGACAGATATTTGATGCCAACAGGCATGGGGGGGGGGGGGTGCAGAGAAAGCCAGGGAGGGGGATATGATGTCCTCCAGCATGTTGATGAGATGTCATTGGATATAGTTTGTCTTGCCATCTTGACAGCAGTATTGATTAGATCTTCTTGACCAGCTGTGGCATGGAAAAAGTACCCCTGCAGTGGTCAGACTGTGCATGTCTGAGTTCTCCATGAATCCCCTCACCTCTGGGCTGAAGTCATCCTTGGAAAAGTGAGGTGACATCTGATGGGTAGAAACTGAATGGTATATGCTTTCCTTCTCCACTCTGCTGCCCAACACAGATGGACATCTGTGAGACATTGATACACAAACCTTTGGATCCTGTGGTGGCCATTCACAAGCAGGGATAAGTACATTTATTCATGTTCAACCACACTTTCAAAATTCTATCTCACTGACCTGCAGCACATCTCAATTTGTGTACATTGTGGAGCTGGCAGTCATGGGGAATGAGGTAGGTGCATTGTGGATGGTCCCTGGATATAGTATGCAGGGAGGGTGAAATGGATGAGATGGAAAATGCTGGAGTGGGGAGAGAGGGAGATGCATGTGACTGAGAAGACTGGTTACTCACATTACCAGGTTTCCAGCAAACTGGAGAGTGGGAAGATGACAGGGTGTCCTTTGGGCACACCATACAAAGTGCAGAAAGTTGGTCAGGTACAGAAGGCAAGCAAGGTAAGGACAGTTACCTAGGAGATCTCAGTGAGCATGACTGAGTTCATAACAACCTAGGTGAATAAAGTCGACACCCAGAACACAGATCACTGCCTTCAAGTTCACACCATCAGTCTCCAAAACCCACTCCATCTTCATCTTGATGCTCCCCTCATCATCTGGGATGGTGAAGAAGGATTCAACAAATGTGGAGTTTTTGGGAGTGGTGGAGGTAGGGTCAGGATAACTGCTCCAACTCCCTGCCACTGAGCCTGAACATGTTGATCCTTTGGCATGTGATGAACACACCATGCATCCTATCCTCTCTGTATGTAAGCTGGATGAGGTCACCCAATGAATTGCACACTGTACCATCATAGTGGATGTCATTAGACATCCCCTGTTTCCACCATTTTGACAGTGATGTCAATGAGACCTTCTCAACTAGCTGTGGCATGGAAGAAGGCCTCCTGCCAAATGGTACACACTTTCCTCCTACACTCTGCCACCTGACACAGACAGACATTGGTGAAACATTGATATTATAGGGTTTCCAGGATTTCCAATGAACCTGAGAGCTGGAAGATGATGGGGCAATAAACATACATAATTGTTAGAGACAGTGCACTCACACTCACTGAAAACAATGCCCACCTGAATGCTAATCTCTGGTCCATCAGATCCTTCCCAAAATTTGTAGTACCCAGCCTTGGGAATGAGCTGCATTATCTTTTTCTTTTTGCCTTTCAGATGTGTGAAGCCGATGAATATGCCTCTCTTTGGGTAAAAGTCAGTATGTATAATGAGTCAAACCTACAGAATTGCCCAGGAGACCACAGTGAGTGTGATTGAGTTCATAATGATCTGGGCAACAATGCAAACCGAGGCAGCAGGAGCAATGTGAAGGCAGGCAGTCATCATTGGATCTGGAGGATGGAACCTGATATGTCACATTTGCTTGGGCAGGCAGACTGGGAGTGGCATGGAGCAAGCACAACAGTAGGCAGGGAAGTGAGCAAGGTACAGTAGACTTGCACAGACATGATAATTGCACCACTCACAAACCAATACAATGCTATAGAAATGTATGCTAGGCAAATGGCTAGTCCTTATCCATGAGACCAGTGGCTCCAGCTTCAAGACATGTTGCATCCACACCACCTACCAGGTCAATAACTCCAGTTTCATGAAGAGGGTTAACTGTCAACTCCACCAAATCAGGCCTTGAGTATTCTAACATGACTGCCAGCATCTCTATCTCATAGGCAGGCAATGGATCTTTGTCCACTGGTGTTTCAAGTGGTAAACTCAGCACAGAGAGCTTGTATGACTTATCAGAATGGCTCAGGACCCAAAGGCCATGTTGGAGCCACTTGCTGTCAACATTTCCTGGCAGCTGTAGACAGTAAGTGATGAGGTGGGGTAGGTGGATTCAGCACAATTGTAAGACTCACCTGCAGAAGTGTGAACATAGTAGCACTGGTGCAAACACCCATCAATCAGGACTGGATGGTATCTGGCAACCAGCAAAGGCACTGTGAACAGAACTCTGCTAGTGATGTGAGATCAGGCTGACAAGACCTCATAATGGCAATGGGGGGATGGCAACCCTCTGACCATGAGGTGAGAGGTAACAGATACATCACTAAGATGGTGGGGTCAGGGAACTCAATACATTCCTCCACAATGATATGGGGAAGCATGTGGTGCCTACATCTGAGGAGGTGTTGAGGATCCACTCATAGCACCTCGCAGACATTGTCATGCCACCTGGCAATGAACTCCATAAACTCCATGAACTGAAGCATGATTGTGGCTTCAAAGAGGGTCTTTCCAAAGCCATAGTTAACCAATTGGTGGGCAACATCTGTGCTGCACCACTGGCAACCTGTCTAATGAATTGAATGAGGATGGGCAGCATCTTCAGGGAGCTGGATATGGCACTTACCTCACTATCTACACTACTCATCAGTGTGACAAGGAGGAGGTCACCCCACTTGAGGCTGGTGCAATTTTGTAAGGCATCTGATGAGTAGAGTTGCATGTCTTCATACTTGCCAGATGGTGGGATGCCACTATTTGTGGTAAGCTAAATGACCACATCTCCATGTTGGAACTGACCTATCTGTGAATGATGCAAGTCATACCAAACAGCAGCACATTGTTGTACAGCATTGCCACAACATTGATGAGGGTGCATGACTGGAGGCAGGTGAGTTCCACCTCTGCCTCTCCCAGAGCCTTGTGAGCTTTGTTAGCACCCAGTGACATGTACAACCAATGACTCACCATGTGCCAATTGAAACCAAATGCTGTCAGCAGCTCTTGAAAGTGCTGCATGAGGAGGGGCAGATAGCATGTGCACACAATGTCTTTTCCCCTCTTGAGATGAGGGCAGTCTGGCCCATCAAAAATGAAGTATGGGTGGAGTGGCATCTGAGAGATGGAAGAAAGGCAATGGAAAGTCATTTGTATTTCATGTGATCATCCTGTGCTGGCTTGGCACCATGAAAACACATTAAGCAATGAATGCATCCACACACTAGTGGGGTTTGTGAGGGACAAAAGGGACTATATGAAGCAGGCCACTAACCTGGCATTAAAGCCCACAGTGAGCAACTGGGTGCCTGCTCCATCACCCCACATGCCAAAGTTCTCAGTAGCAAGCTTGCCAAGTGCACATTGCCTCACCACAGGAGCAAGATCTAGCTAATTACAGTTAACATGGCCAGGCCAACAAACAGCAGAGAAAAAAATGTGACTCACTGGCCACAGTTCAAGTGCCTGCATGGGTTTGGAATGTGATGAAAGACTTGTTGGGAGGTAAAGGGGTGCAACAATGTAGAATACCAGTTGACATAGGGAAGCACTCAGCTGACAAATAGGTCAGTGTAGTCTACTTGCCAGTTTAACATCATGGTGGATGGCATCAGGAGAATAGGCACACTTAATGCACAAGATCTGTGTTTCAAAATTTATGAGTGGAAGGGGAAGGGCAGAAGTTGACAATGCGACTCACCAAATGATCAGTACATGCAAGGACAGTCTTGAAGCCAAGTTGAACCTTCTGATCCTGAAAATCTTGAAGGGGGCCAACAATCAGCTCGAGGATGGCTGTGTAGACATGACATCTGGTGCCAAACTGCCCAGTGAAGGGAATGGCCAATGGGCTGCTCACCAGACCCATCCAATGGAACTGAATCAACCTTCAAGCAATAGTGATCTGTCAACTAGGTGAAACCTTGGGATAGGCTTGCTGACATGTACTTACCAACAGCAGTGATTGAAGAGCATTGAGTGCTGAGTGTCAAAGATGGAGGGTGAAGGCAGGCAAGGGCTCCTGCTGCCATGCACCCCACTAACCTGCCCTAAGCAATTATGTTAGTGCCCCAGGCCCAATAGGCCTCAAGGCTGCAGACTGGTTCAAGCTGCAAAGTGCTGGAAAGCAATTGTAAAGTCCTATAAAGTGACTTTGTGATGGAAAATGAGTACACACATTTGCATCCAGGCTGTCTCTGTTTTCAGTTTTGAACCAGTGAAATTAGCAAACCAGTTGATGGGATGCATTGAAGCTCATGAAGGCCTGGATCCCATGTACTCACGATGGCCCAGTAGGAATTACAGTATTATGGTGGCAGGGTCCTGGGTGAGGTGTTTTGTAAGTATGTGTTTAGGCAATTTGCACCACCATGCAGGTACATGCATAACTGATGAATGCATATTGTATATGCACTGTGTGTGAACTAGTGGTCTACTTTCCTGCTATTTCTTCCAGCTGGATGGCCCCATCTATACTGTGGCAAGTTGATGGTCACCATAAAAACAGACTTGGAGTTGTAGGGTCTGCTGCAATGCTCTCATGAAAATATCATAAATGGAGGTTTGAGCACTGAGCAGTGGAAAATATCATAAACAGAGGTCTGAGTGCTGAGCAGTGGAATCAACACTGTAGACATGACATCACTGGTGCCAAGTCAATCAATGATGCCCATGCAACCCTGCAAGTCCAACACCAGGCAGGAATGATGACTAAATGAACATTGGACATGCTGGACACTGAGTAGTGCTGAACACTGAGTGCTGAGTGATCACAATCTCCACACAGGAATTTGAGTGCTTCAAGCCACTGGGTCATCATATTTGATAAGTACAGTAGGCAGTACACATACTGTACTAATATTATACTATGCTATGAACCATGACTGTGGTCTGCCAAGGCTAGGGGGTCTAAGCAACATTGATGTCAAGGTTGTGCAACCCTCTGCTTGGCTCCTGTTCAGAATGTAATTCCATTTTCCACTAACTGCTAACTGCCAAATGTTTTGCTTCTGTGTCCTGACACCATCCTGCATGATTGACAATGCTGGTGCCATCATGAGCAGTCAGACACTCCAAACAGCCATCCCTGCTGTCGAAGGTGGCCACTGTGGCTGGGTGGCTGACTCAAAATTTGCAGTTCACACACACCACCTACCTGTGAATTTTCTGGAATAAATGTACATAGTAACTACAAGATAGGTGAAACAGATAAGGAGAAAAGAAACTTGAGACTGGTTCTTGATTATTTCTTGAAAGGACTGGGTTTGTCCAGGTACTGGTCATGATACTCCTGGACAAGTTCTGAGGTGTTATCCAGCTCTGTTGCTAGTACCCAAGTAGTTTCTTTGTCAGTTCCCTCATAACTGGTCCACTGGACCAGGTACTGCAACCAACATTCTCTGTTCCAGTGAACCTTTGAATTGAGTATTTCTGCTACCTCAAATTCTAAGTCACCATCAACATCTACTGGTGGGGGTGGAGGTTGAGTCTGGTTGGTGGTATTTGGGATGGCCAGTTCAAGTTGGGATATGTGGAAGACTGGGTGTACAGCATACATGGAGTCTGGTAAGTGCAGGGTAAATGAGTGAGAGCCAGCCTGGGCTATTATGGGATAGGGCCCAAGGTTCTTCTCACTCAGCTTCTTGGAGGGCCAGGTCAACAAGAAGTACTTGGCTTTTACATAGACATTATTGCCCACTTTGAAGTCTGGGGCTGGCATGTGCTTAGCATCCACCAGCCCCTGGTAACATTTCCAGGCAAGAGCCATTTATTCACAAAGGTATTGGTGCAGAGAGTCTAAGTCAACTGCATAATCATGAGCCTGGTTGGATGTGAGGTTGCACTCAGGGAAGACTGAGATATTAGGGGGGTAACCCTTATTAGTGAAGAAGGGTGATAACCCAGTCATAGCACTGGGTGCATTGTTGTAAGCAAGCTAATGGTAGTAACTCAGCCCAGTTATCCTGTTGATAGTTACAGTAGACCTGGAGATATTGTTCAAGGGTCTGACTGGTGCACTCTGTCTGACCATCCCCCTCTGGGTGATACCTGGAGGTGAAATGTAGTCACATGTCTAGAGCCTTACCAAGAGACTGGAAGAAGTGGGATATGAACTCTGATCCCCAGTCTGAAGTTACATGGGCTGGTACACCATGCTTGGAGAATATGTGCATGAGGAAGAGCTTGGTGAGCTCAGGGGTTGTGATGGTGTCATGAGTAGGTATGAAGATGGCTTGCTTTGAAAGCCAGTCAACCATGACAAGGGTGGTAGTAAAGCTGGTTGAGGCTGGGAGTTGCTCTATGAAATCCATTGAGATGGAATTCCATGGCTTCTTTGGCACAGGGAGTTGCTTGAGTAGGCTGTAAGGCCAGTGGCAGGGTACCTTGGCCCAGGCACAGGTAGTGCAGGACCAAACATAGTCCTTGGCAAATGTCCTTAGGCCACACCAAGTGTATTCACACTGGATGAGTTCCAAGGTTCTATTTTGGCTGAAGTGGCCAGACAAGGGATGATCATGCTTGAACCTCAAGACATGAAGATGAAGGTCATTAGAGTCTGGTACATAGATTCTTCCATCTAGGCAGAGGAAGCCAGTGTCATCAACTGACCACCAGGAATCTGATGTATCTGAGGACTGGACTTGGGTGACCAGGTCTGAGGGTAAAGCTGAGAGGATATCATTGTGAAGTTTCTCCACATCCATCAGTGCAACAGCATGCAGGACCAGGTACTCAAGTTGACCTGGGCATAGTCACTATCCCCCTCTTTGGGGTAGATGTCCCATTGTCTAGTTAGGGCATCAGGCTTAGCACCAAGTTTACCAGGTCTGAACCAGATAACCATATTGAACTGTGATAGACACTCAGACCAGTGTGCCTGGCACTGGGTCAGTACCATTGAAGTGGAGAAGTACTCCAGGTTCTTATGATTGGTGACAATGTCAACCAGTATAGCAGATCCTTCCAGGTAATGCTGCCATGTCCAGAATGCCTTGAAGATTGTGAGTAATTCCTTATCATGGGTGTCATAGTTTAACTCCAGGGCTGTTAAGGTGTGAGAGTAGAATGCAACCAGCCAGATTTAGCCATCACCACCAGTGATGGACAAAATACCAACTATGGCATAGTCAGATGCATCAGTCTTGACAGTAATAGGAGCATCTAGGGAAAAGTAAGTGAGGACTGGGGCAGTGGTGAAGGCCTGCTTTAGTTTGTTGAAAGACTGGTGGCACTCCTCAGAGAAGTTCCAGGGAGCACCTTTGTGTGTCAACTGGGTTAGAGGTACCACTATGTCCAAGTAGTTAAAAATGAACTGGCAATAAAGATTGGCAAAGCCCAGGATGGACTGGATGTCTTTTACCTTCTGGGGCTCAGGCCAGTCACAGATGGCTTTGACTTTTTCTGAGGATATGGTAAGGCTGGTCAGGGACAAGTGGTAGCCCAGATATTCTGCAGAGTCTGAGTGGAACTTGCACTTCTCCAGTTTAGCATATAGGCCATGCAACCAGAGCTGGCAAAGAACTTTCCAGACATACTGCTTGTGTGAAGACTCATCTCTGGAGTAGATCAGGATGTCATTGAGGTAGACAACAATGCAGACATCTAGCATATCTGCAAAGATTGAGTTGAAAAACTGTTGGAAGGCAGCCAGGGCATTGGTAAGACTGAAAGGCATCACCAACCACTCATATGATCCATAGTGCATTCTGAAGGCTGTTTTCCACTCATCACCAGGTGCAATCTGGATGAGGTGGTATGCATGCCTTAGGTTGACTTTAGTGTATATTTTGGTGTGGCTAGGAGAGTCAAGGAGATCAGATATTAGTGGTAAGGGATACCAGTCCTTCTTGGTGAGTTTGTTAAGGCCCCAGAAGTCAACACATAACTGGAGTGAACTGTCCTTCTTCTTTATGAAGAGGACTGGTGCAGCATAGGGGGAAGAAGTGGGCTGGATGAAACTGGTAGTCAGGTTTTTGTCAATGTACATCCAGAGAGCTTGCAGCTTGACCAGGGATAGTGAGTAGATAGTTCCAATGGGTGGTGTAGTACTCTCTTCCAGTTCAATCTTAAGGTCATACTCCTGGTGTGGGGGGAGAGTAGATGCCTTGGCTTTGCTAAAGATGTCAGTGAAGTCATGGTAGTTCTTTAGTAGGCCCACCAAGTCCAGTGGAGGGCCAGTAGAGGCAGACTGGGCCAGGACCAGGACCAGTGGGTGTAGATGAAGCTGGAATTGGGTGGATCCCTCTAGCTTGCAAGCATGTACATATGCAGCTGCATTGATCAGGGTGATAGGGGGAGCCTTCAGGGGGGTGTGAACCAGTGAGTTGACAGATGGTACAGATGGTGCAGGGCCAGGGCTGGGTTGGTCAGGTAGACCAGGATTGGGAAGACCAGTGTGGCAGGGGTTGTCGATGGGGTTGGCATTCCTCCTGTAGATGTCCAGAATGTTAGACTGCTCAGTACCCAATCAATTGGTGGATTGTAGCAGGTGAGCCAGTCATTTCCAAGGACTATCTTACATTCAGAACCCAATGGGGCTAAAAACAGGGTTACTGGGGTGACATTACTGGTCACAAATTGAACCAAGAGATCTACTGCTCAGGTGATAACAAAACTTGATGACCCATCAAAGAGCTGGAGTTGGATAGGGGACACAGAGTAAGGGGTAAATGAGTGTTGATTAACAAATTCATTATCTATAAAACTATGTGTGGAACTGGAGTCCACTAGAGTACAGAACTGGGGCAAACTGTGACTGACAATAGAAACATGGGGAGTTAATGAATTGGGATTGGAAAGAGCAGATGTGTTGAGATGAGCCTCTGTGAGTGCACAGCCAGAGTCAATGCAGCTCTCAGTCTGTGCAGAGTCCTGAGGGCTGCTACCTATTTTTTTGGCTCAGGGGCAGAGCCTGAGGTTGAGGCCAGTGTTGCCTCAGAGGTGGCTGCAGTGTGAGCTGTAGCCTTCCCAGCTTTCTTGGGTTGTGGGGTCCAGGTGGTTTGAAGTTCCATGACAAACTCTTTCCATGAGTCCATCCAGTAGGGCCAGTCCTCTGGGTCTTCAATCCCAAGTAGGTCTGGTTCAAACCACTCAAGAGCCATCCCTTTCAGGAATGACTGTGTGAAAGTGACCTTGGCTTGATCACTTCAAAAGGCCTGGGGCCAGTCCCAGAAGTTAAGTTCACATTGGATAAGAAAAGTATGAAGCTCCTTTGGGTCTGTCCCATTGAGGGTGTCTGGTTCATGCAATTTGGTTCTGGAGGATGATTCAGAGCTGGTATGAGCATTGTGTGCAAGAAGCTCAATGGCTTTAGCAAGGTTGTCAAGCATGGTTACACCAGGCTTGACATCATCTTCTGGGAGGGGATCTTCCTTGTCATTATCTGGGTCATCTGTTCATATTAGGTGCCTGTGCACCTCAGGACTGCATTTCTCCTCTGTGTTATTTCTATCTAACCCTACAGACATGTAGTGGACACTTAGCTTCGCTCTAAGTGTCCTTGGTTTGCATTTGTTTATTGTTTACATTTGTTTATCATTTTGTGCACTTACTGTTGTGTGCCCAGTGAAATTTTCTTCAGTCTCTTACACTGGGCACAAGGTATGTCTCATGTAGTATTCCCTTGAATATTAGTCTCTTACACTGGGCACAAGTGGCCTCAGTCTGTGGTTATCTTAACATCATCTCCCAGCCCATCATCACCAGGGTCATCACCACCAGGATTGAAGTCATCTGGTTCATCTGGGTCCAGTTCATCATCCAGATCATTAGTGGGTGTGGGAGGTCAATTAGAAGTGGGAGTGGTAGACTTGTGGGCTGAGAAGCCCCTGAAGTTATTGACTTCACCAGGCAACCTTCTGGCTGTCCCTAAGGACACCAGGGCAGCAGCACAGCACAAGCCAACAGCTGAGGCAGATTCTGGATTGGTGGTAGCATGTAGCTGTGCTGCTTGAGTTCTAGTCTGGGTAGGCATGCCAAAGATGTGTTGTTGGGGTTTGGATAGAACAGTAATGACCCACACAAGTGGGAGTCTGAAATACTGTTAAGTTTGTCACCAGTCCAAGGCCAGTCTGGAGTCTGGTCAGGGGTCAGAGGGGAAGATGAGGGTACTAGAGGTTTGGACTATTGTACTTAGCAACTGATGTAGCAGTGCTATTCCCTTGCATGGGCTGCAGTCCAGTTGAGAGGCAGAAGACAGAGGAGACTGGGTTTGATGAGACTAGATTGATTTAAGACTGAGGCTACACAGATGTTCCTACAGCTTAAATACTAAAGGTAAAGTAAGTGTAACATAGCACTGGTACAGTGGTGATTGGTAAACAGATTGGTAAGTAAGATGTTACAAAGAATATTATCAAGCAAAGGTATGAACAAAGGATTTACTGGGAACCAGGGCAGGACTGGTGGCTGAGCTGGGTATTACAGTGGTCTGGTACCAACTGAGCAGACAACTTGATTGGGCACTGCCTTTCAGTGCCTCATGAGCTAACATGTTTCTAGGTTGAAGGGTTAAGGCTGGGACCAGGGCAAGGGTTGGGTGAGACTGGTTGAGACTTCAGTAGAGCTGGTCTAGGGTGGTCTAGACATGGTCATGATACAGGGTCTACAAACCTCAGTTCAGCATGGAGGTGTTCTCTAGGGTGGGTGGGAACAAGGACCATTTGACTGGTGTTGGGGTCATGAAGTTCAACAGACTGCTCATCATTCAGGAAGTCATGTGTAACTGAACTTAAGTGGCAATAGAATGGGCAGCTGAGCAGTAGGTCAAAAGGGACATTCTTGACAACTTGTATCTGTAGGAAGACCTCTAACAGTCTGATCATGAGCTTGGCATCTTCCATAATCCCCAAGGTACATGTGTGCAACTTGTTTGCTGCTTCAAGTACTGTCATGCAGTCTGGCAGCAGCAGAGTACTGATAGCCTGCCACAGCTCCTTCCTAAGAGCTATCACCTGGCAGCCATTGTTGAAGATGCACTCAACATTCAGTTTATCTTCATGACCCCATCCACTGCCCTTAGCAGCATTGACTCAGCCCTGACCATCTTCCCCTCTTCCTCTATTACCATGTACTGCTCATATGCGAGCGATTCTGATGGCTCAGAACTGAGTGCAATGGTTTTTGATGGTGGTGGCAGGAACTTGCTTTGCTGTGGCCAGCTCCTTCACCTGCTTACAGAGCTCCAGGCTCAGTGCTAGCAAGTTGCAGTAGGACACTTTGAGCTTTGTGTCAAACATACCATTCAGAATCCTTTTGATTGCAGTGGGATTGTTGAAACTGCTAGTAAACCTATACTGGGGTTCTTTACCATTTGACATGGTGGATTTTTCCATCATAACTCTAAGGGTAGCAGATGGAGCAGTAGGTATTTTGCTCAAGGAGCTTGCTCACTTGGGTATGTTGACTCTGTTGAAGTGGACAGACTTCTTGCCTTTGATGTTTGATTTCACCTGCTCTAGCTGAGCATATGCACAGGCATAGGCAGTGCAGTCATCCTTGTCCTTGATCTGTGTATTCCTATATCATCATCAAGCAGGTAGAGGACAATCCTGATGCAAGATTGAGGGGATCCATTGACTGTTCAAAGAACATAGGAAGAGGTCATGTGGGGAGGGGAATTGCAGGTGAAGGGCAAGGTTGACATCCCTGCAGAAGACACCTCTCCATAGGTGTTGATCAAGGCAAGGACTGCCTCTTGCATCGAGTGCCACATGTTGATTTTCTGTTTAAAGTTCCTTCCTGGTGTTCCCCAAGGTACATCCTTTCCATCTGGGAGGAAGACCTGGTTTCCCACCAGTTTACACTTTCCAACTTTAATGTATTTGTGGACATAGGGGCAGTCTGGGGTCAGGTGCCCATCCTTGCTGCAGAACAAGCAGTCCAGTCAGCAACAAGGCTCATAGAGCAAGCAAGCAGGCTCACAAGGATGTGCTTCATTAATCATAGGGGCTTGACAGTGGAATACTGCAGGATGTTGAAAGGCCATGGGCAATGCTAGTGCCATTCCACTACTCAGAAGGAAGGTGGCTTCCTCATAGACCTCCTTGAATGCCCAAGGCTTGTCCATGTAGTGTTGAGGATGAAGGAGTGACAACCACTGTAGGAGGATGTTCCTAAAGTCCATATGGAAACCCTGTAAAAATTTGGTGTCCCTTTCTCTCTCAGAAAGGTGATTCCTCCTCCCTAAGAATGTTGCAATGTGCTGGAATTCTCTGAAGTACTCTCCCAGCTTCCCTCATGTATTCATTGGCCACAATGCATACCTTTGGATGATCTTGTCCAATTCCAACATGGTGCATCAATGACTGTCATAATCCATGCTGGGATAGTAAGTTTTGAGTTCTTCTATGAACCCTTCCCAATCTCCTTTTGTCACTGCATTCAAGGTCACCCAGAGCTCTTTGTCAGTATGACTCAGGTAGCAGAGGGTTCAACAGATTTTATCTTGGTTGGCATAGTAGCCCACATCTTCACATAGTTGCTTGATGTCCTCCAGGAAATATAGGAGGTCACATGGTTCCCCCAAGAAGGATGGTGCTTTGGCTGTGTTACAGAGGGGCATCTCCTTCCTTCCCAAGGACATCTGTGGTCTGAGTGGCATGTTGGTAGTATATGTGGTAGTTCCTGACTGGGGGAGGGGGTGCAGTACAAGGTGTGGGAAATGGGACAATGGATTCTCTAGTGATGGTAAGGGATGTGCAACCTTGGGTGAGAGTGGGCATGACGATGACTGAAGCAAGGCAAGCAAGGAGAGTGAGGACTGTGGTGCCTTTATTGTGACAAGTGGCTCATCAGGTCCTAGCAGCTCACCTGAGGTGGTTTGCATCAGGAGAGGGTCTTGGGGTTGCACAGGCAGGGCAACACTGTTGTCCAGTTTAAGTGCTCCTGGGAAATACAGCATTTCAACAAGGGTAGATAAGGGTGGAACAGGTGTATTTTGTGGCACAAAGAGGAACAGGACTAGTCTGTTTTGTTCATCAGAGCCTGATGACTGGGGGAATGAGATGGAAAGTTTGCTTAGTGGTTTGACAAGAACATTGAGATCCAGGATAGAGAAGGGGAGGGAGTTAAAGCTCTAGAGCCAGAACTAAGGTTCCCTCATGATGGGCTCCAAAAGATGTGGGGAGCAGGATCTCTCCCAGCTAAAATACTAATAGGCTGTAGGCAAGTTGATGAGTCTGCCTAGGGTTGTCCTGAGGGAACCTAGACCAGCACAAGAGCAAGAGGAGGTGAGTAGGAGAGGGTTGAGGGGTAAGAGTCATCAAAATTGTCACAAGATGTCTTTTAGATGTCATGTTATGCAGAGATTTTTCCAATCAAATTCCAAGTGGGCTAAAAAGGCTCCTTCTCCTGTACAGTACCTGCTAGCTAAATGGTGTAGCAGAAACAGAAGGGTTTACAGGGTAGGTACATGGAATGAAAAGGAAAGACACAAAAGGCTTAGCTGGCCACAAGTATCAAAATTTTCAAACTCAGCTGAAGTTTGGACTCAGCCTACCACTCTTGCAGGGGTCTGATGGGTTCAACCTCTAAGAGGGGGATACTGTTATAACCATGTCTTGACCCCAGCCAGACTTGGCCTTGGCCTCACCAAACACCTACCTCCAGTTGGTCTACTGTGGTCAGCACTGCTTTGCAGTGCATTTCATTTCAGTTGAGCTCAACCCAGCTTCATCCCCAGTCTGCCCTTGTCTCTGCCCCAGTCTCTGGTCACCTTAGTCATGTCTTACTAGTACTGTTCTTACAAATTGTCTTAGCAATCCTTGCAAGACTGGCATTACCAGTCTCTGTACTATAGTTTGTCTCTAGTAGATAAACCTGTAGTTACTCAGCCTGTATCTCTCCAGTCTGAAATCAACTAAGTCTCATCTGAAATCCCTGTCTTGGCCTCAGACTCAGACTGCAACCAATGCAAGGGAATAGTGCTGCACCATCAGTGGCTAAGTCCAACCAGCCCACCCTCTGTAACTCTGCCTCAACTCTGGTCCTGACCCATCAGCCTCACACACCTGCTTCAATCTCTGGTCCAGCCTTGAACCCAGACATCCCAGACTTGACACATATGGGCAATGCAGAGTCACACACAGAGCCATAGTGCTCTTGTTATATTCTCATTTTTCCTTTCACAATACAATGCTTATGAATATTCAACATTAGGAAGTTCAATGAGCCTGAACTCAAACAGTCAACTAAGTATGAAAGATAGCTGTCAATTTGGAAGATAACACTCAACCACAAAAAACCTCTTGGGAGTTACACTTTTTCCTATGTACCTGTAGATCACAGTAGAACATGTTTGAATCAAAACTGAAAAGATCATCTTGAATGCACAGCTGTCCAGGCTAAGCTTCTCTTCCAGTACCACTACCCTTAGGTCTGTATCTTGTTGTGCTTGTTCCAGTTCTGCATACCACTCCTGTAGTGACCCTTCACATCATGTAGTACAGTGGCTCAAAAAAGTGTCCCAATGTTGGGTGACTTTGGAAGGATTTGCAATTTATGAGAGAGCCAGTAGGAATCAGTTCAAACTCCTGCAGGACCAAAAATAGCACAAAGTGTTGCCTTGACAACAAGGGCTAGTTCATATAATTTGGTTGCTATGGCACTGAGATACAACCAATTTAAAATGACATGCCATTGGGACACTTTTGAGCATGATGTTGTCAGTCATTATTTGGTAAATAACATAAGAATTTGGACAACTTCTGAGGGATGTTTTGCTTCAACCTTGCCTGATTATGTAATCTACATAATCCTGAGCCATAAAAAAGGCTTGGGTCCCACTCAGTTGACCCTACTTCACCATGAAATGCATTTTTGCCTCTTCTAGAGCAAACACCATCTTCTTTGTGAACCTGGCCTTGCTGCTGATCAAACCTCCTATAAAACTGGTCTGGGGAGTTGTACTGTGGCCAGGGTCATCAAAGAGCCCCAGCTAGACAAGGAAAACATCAAACTAGGACATCCTCACCAGCTTTCTTCTACTAGCAGAAGGAGAATAGTCTCTAGTGTGACCTCTGGAAGAGCTGAAAATGCCATCCAGGCCACACATATAATAAGTGCTCCCCTTTCCTTTCCTGTCACATCCAAAACTGTTTTCAGTGTGCTCAATTCTGCATCCCTGATGGCTGTAGTCAAGCAGGAACATTATCCTTTCCTACCATTTTCAACACAAATTTCCTTCCTATCTGACCCAAAGCTATTGATCTTGGGTCCAAGTGACCAGATGACCCTATTCCAGTCCTCCAAGGTCAAGATTTGGTGCTTAAGAGCAAAGGCAGGTCCCTGTTGGCTATGCTTGCCAGATGAGAGTGGCCCCTTTCAGGGATGCAGAATTGAGCACACTGAAAACAGTTTTGGATGTGACAGGAGAGGAAAGGGGAGCACTTATTATATGTGTGGCCTGGATGGCGTTTTCAGCTCTTCCAGAGGTCACACTAGAGACTAGAGCCCAATACCTTCAATGGTACTGACCCCAAGAAGCTTCATGCCTTCTTCATTCAGTGCAAGTTAAACTTCCAAGACCAGCCTTGGGCTTTCAGGACCAACCATGCCAAAGTCATCTTCATGCAATCCTACCTTAAAGGCATGGCCTTAGAATGGTTTGAGCTAGACTTGCTCAGTGTTGAGGATCCTGATGACTGGCCTCTCTGGATGGACTCCTGGAGGGAGTTCAACCTAGAGTTACAAACCACCCTTGGCCCTCATGAGCCAGTTGCTGACACCAAGAGTCAGCTTGACCATTTACATATGAAAGATAACCAGCACATCAACAAGTACATACAGTGGCTCACAAAATTGTCCCAATGTTTGCATGTTGTTCATTAATCATGATATAGAAAGTGAACTATCATAATTGAGTCCAAGGTGTTGGTGGAAGGATCAAAGCAGCTGGTCATGTCTCTCTGATGAGCCATATTACATAATATTTGGATAGAAACTGATGACAGAATACCAAAATGAAAATGAGAGCTCATTGGGACAATTTTGTAACTTTGTCATATACATGGGTTGGAGTCCTCAGGAACACATATAAAACATGGTGAGGTGCTCACCAATGATTACATAATGTATCACATGGTCTACTGAATGATTCATCAACAAACAAACAATGCCAAATGGTGATTTTGCACCACTAAGCCTCTTTGCTGTAACACAAGTCAAGAAATCACCATTCTGGCTCATCATGGACATTCTCTCAGGGCAACCTCAGCAAATGCTGCTGTACACTATAGTATAATAAATAGAATATGCTATCAGCACCATTGATCTCTTCAGAAACCTGGCAGTCATCTCCTGTGCTGTTTCCCACCAATGCCCCATGCAGTCCTGGAACTAATCAGTACTGTGAGAGCTGAGAATGATGTGGAGGTCCAATCTTGCATTCATCCTATCATAAACAAACCAATCACCCACTAATTACTACATCACTGCTGAAGAAAAGCCTGCCTGAAGGCTCAGGTGAAGCACAACCCTGCTGGGCACTCCCAGTATCATGGGAGGGTTGGCCAGACTGTACTCTGAGCTGAACTGGGGATCACTGGGAAGGAGTAATTTGATCATATAAGACTAAAGGAAATATCCAGTGCCAGATAGAAGGCCAGGAAAGTGCAACCTGGTAGCTCAGTAGCATATCCCTCCCATGGTACCTGGAGTGAGGGAGGGTTTAGCTTCACCCTGACCTCCATACCAGTTTCCCCTTCACAGAAATGCACTAGTTAATGGACAATTGGTTTGTTTATGATAGGATGAATGCAAGATTGGACCTCCACATCATTCTCAGCTCTCACAGTACTGATTAGTTCCAGGACTGCATGGGGCATTGGTGGGAAACAGCACAGGAGATGACTGCCAGGTTTCTGAAGAGATCAATGGTGCTGATAGCATATTCTATTTATTATACTATAGTGTACAGCAGCATTTGCTGAGGTTGCCCTGAGAGAATGTCCATGATGAGCCAGAATGGTGATTTCTTGACTTGTGTTACAGCAAAGAGGCTTAGTGGTGCAAAATCACCATTTGGCATTGTTTGTTTGTTGATGAATCATTCAGTAGACCATGTGATACATTATGTAATCATTGGTGAGCACCTCACCATGTTTTATATGTGTTCCTGAGGACTCCAACCCATGTATATGACAAAGTTACAAAATTGTCCCAATGAGCTCTCATTTTCATTTTGGTATTCTGTCATCAGTTTCTATCCAAATATTATGTAATATGGCTCAT